TTTTAATAGACAAAAAGTGATAAAAATAAAACTAATATATTCAGATTAAAATAAAGGTATAAAATGATAGTTAAAAAGAAAAGGCGAACTTTTGAAGCAAATAAAATAAGAAACGTTGAAAAGTTATGTCATTCCAAACCTCGCGACTTTTGGCATTTTTTTTCGAAAAAAAATAAATAAAACAAATAGTAACACATTGTGTGTTGAAGATTTTTATAATTATTTTTCAAGTTTACAAAACGAGATACATACACCATACATACACCATTGAATACGGAAGCTGAGAAATTTTTGTTCAGACTATGATTTTGTAACAACTAATTGTAGCTTTGATGAGCTAGATAAGCCAATTACTTCTACTGAAGTGGAATTTATTATTAAGAAATTAAAGAAGAATAAAGCCTATGACATGGATAATTTAATAAACGAATATTTTATAAAATGCTATGATATACTCTCTTCTCATTTGGTTGATATTTTCAATGCTATTCTAAATTCTAGACATTTTCCAGTTGAATGGTCACGTGGAGTTATCGTACCTATTTATAAAAAGAACGATCCGTGTGAAGTGCGTAACTCTTCTCCAAATCCCTCCAGAGGCGTGCACGTCGCAGAGAAGGCACACGGCAGATCAAGGTCAAGTCATCTCAAGTACCAGAGATGATTGGCTGACCTGCCGTGACTAACTCTGAGGGGTGACGCTAACAAGGGTTGTTTTTTGTTATCGTTTGGCAGTATTGTCGACTCCTTCACCACCATTGAACGAAGAACGGGCTCCAGGTAGATTCGGCATGAAAAAGATGTCCCCGGTGTGACTACTACAGTGGACCGGCAAGGATCATGCTACATTCTCGGACATATGGTTAATTCCGGCGCCGAGTATAAATAAACTCAAAAAAAAACAGACAAACAAACAAGTGCATAACTATAGAGGCATTACATTTGTAAGTTGTTTATCGAAAATTTTTACAGCAAATGTGAATAAACGGCTGATTATAAGCGATTGGTCTGAAACTTGTAACTTTATTAGTGACGCGCAATTCGGCTTTCGCACGGGTCTTTCAACAACAATATTGATGCTGTATTTGTGCTATTCATTGAAAATAATCGTTTGTTTAACTGTGTGGTTAATATGAAAAGAGCATTTGAAAGCGTTTATCTAAATGACCTTTGGCTAAAATTGTATAAATAAGGCATTGATGAAAAGCTATTTAGAATTGTTAAGAATATGTATTCACATGTTAAAGTTTGTGTAAAAAGTTGTAATTCATATTCGGAATTCTTCGAATGTGCTGTAGGCCTAAAGCAAGGAGGGATTATGTCCCCTTTGATGTTCTTATTTATTGATGACCTTGAACTTTTCTTACCAGTAAAACATGATAGCGGCTTATCACTAGATGATATAATGTTCATACTTTTGTTATTCGCAGACGACATTGTTATTTTAGGCTAGTTTTGTAAATGCACGGTTAATAGAAATAACTGGGCATATCAAGTTAAATACCTTTGAGATTGTTATGGTTTTTCATATGTTTTGAACAATCCATTCTGTGTTAACTTAAATAAGTTCCATCTAGTTTTTAAAGAAACAGTAATAGATACTTTTAAACAAAACTGGCACCAACGACTACAGGGATGCGGAACATTGGATATGTACAAACATTATAAACATCTTTTGGGTTTGAACAATATTAAAATATATTGTCATTTAAATTTAGAAGCATTCTTTCTAACCTTAGACTGTCGTTTCACAAGTTAGCCATTGGAACTGGTCAGTACGCTAGGAATAGAGTAGAAAGAAATGTGCGATATTGTATATTTTGTAGCAATAGAGATATAGAAGATGAATATCATTTTGTCATGGTATGTCCAGTATACGCTAATGTAAGGAAACAATTCAATAAAGCATATTTTCAAAGAAGGCCAAATGTAATGAAGTTTATAGAGCTTTTGAAAAGTGATAATTGTGTTACTGTTGTAAATCTGGCAAAATTCATGTATAACGCATTTAATTTAAGAAAGACTTTACGGTAAATTAATAATTTAAAACAAGAAAACTGTCTTATTAACTAGAAAATGTAAGTTGCTGATTCATCCTCCTTGAAATATCTGAATTTATTTTTGTGATAAAAATGTAATTATTGTTTGTACTTTATTTGGTTTAAGTCTTATAGAATTCTTCTCCTTTGGCGAACTATATGGTTTGTCTTAAATAAGTTTAAAGTTAGTATATACTATACAAGGGAATAAGTATTAATCTGATCACTTGACAAATATATGTTTGTGTATATATGTAAAATGTATGACAAAAAACTGTACTGTTTATGTCAATTTTTTTTCTGTCTGTCTGTCTGTCTGTTATACAACATGTGGTTTGCGACGACATGAACAATAGCAAAAAGGATATTGTCAATTTAATGTTTTAGAACAGGATATGGAGAAAATAAACTCTACCCTACAAATTCTTCCTTAACAAAAGTTTTAGCAAATCTCCAGCCAATAACCGGAATCCTTATCAAAATATGAGAGACAACTCTCATGTCCATATTTGCATATTGTCGAGTTGATCGATATGGATTGTTTCCCTTACATACCAAATGCATGTAAGGCGTTTATACGGACTTTTATCTATTCTAATGCACTCTTAAAGTGCCTGTACATGTACGGAATCCATTGCGTTCACACATCGATCTACTGCGTTGATCCGTAAAATGTACAAAATAGTATCAATGATAGATAAGTTTTCCTTAATTGCCGTTATTTAATTCCATGTCAGTAAATTGATTTCAAAAGAATATTGTAAAGTTAAACTTCGTTCGCTCGAACTCGGATCGCTCGATACCTCCCTTCGCTCGAACTCATCGTCCAGTCCCGTCAAAATTGCTATATAATTTATACTGTTCTACCTCAGATCGCTCGAGAACACCTGACCCTGAAATCTGTTCCCTTCGGCAGATATATAGTGAAAATCACACCTTTTCGGTCGAACACAAAAAGACAACAAGAGTTGCTGGTCGACATGTTCTGATCGAATCAGTGACAGTCAGCGTCTCATGTTAATCGTGATAATGGCTTATAGGTTAATTGATAATACAAAATTAGAGGTGTTGTAAACAATTTGTTTTTTTGTCGTCTTTAGTAACGATACAAAGAAAATACCTTGCAATATAAGTGAAATGTTCAAAGGTTTTACAGAACAGAACAGAACAGAACAATATAGATAATATAATAAGTTTTGCAGATAGTACATAATCTTGTATATAAATATAAATAAATATATATAACAACGTGAGATACAATAAGAACAGACTATTTTTTTACAGTAATGACATAAATTTGAATGCATATAAACACACTGGCCATAGCTTTCGCAGAAGAGTTGGGTCCTTCGCAGCGGCGGTAGAGTTTTCCTCGCAATAGCGGTGGATAGAATAAGGCCGTTTGCTGTTGTCGGAAAGTATATGACTGAATTTTGTTTTATGTTTGAATGATTTACTGGAAGCACGTAATGAGACTGGAGCCCACATATGTACTCTTTCAACTTATTACACGCACACGGTGAATATCATTGCCGTTTATGCAAATACGTCTGTACAGTTTGACGAGGAGACGCCACTTTTGCCTAATTTTGTTAAAACACGTACACATGTGTGCAAAACGACACCATAATACAACGGCATCACATCGTATGAATGATACTTTCACAACTTAACCATATGCCGATGTCCTTCTTAATCTTTAATACATGATAATAGTTCAACCTCGGTTGGCTCGAACTACCGATCTCTCGGACAAATTTTCTCAGGCCTTCCGAGTTCGAGCGATATTTTGACTGTATTTGACTTCCAAAGGGAAATAAAGTCAATTTCGGTAAAATTATTATTAATAATGTCTGACAATCATAATCAATTTAAAATGCTCACTAATGGACAGTTAACGTGTAATCAAATCCGATTCAACGTATATAAATAATCTACTGATAAAATTTTACTTAATATCTTGAAATAAACATTATCAACTACTATTTGTTTCTAAGCATAACTTAGAACGAAATACCGTATCCGTGTGTACTTATTCACTGTTTGACATAAAGGGCCAAGAGATGCGATATATTGAATGTAGTATAATCATAACACGTGCTTCTAAAATAAATTTTACAAAATGTGACAGTATTGGTTCAATTAGTTATAAACAATACTTAATTAAAATTTGAAATATGACTGAAAAAATAGTATTTTTTAACCTATATTTTCTTTATTATGAACCAGAGGTTTGTGAATACCTGAATTTCAGGGATAATTGTTTAACTTTAATTATAAACCGAACAAGTAATTCGTTTGACATATTAAAGCAATGAATAAACAATGACACAATATACATAGAAACTTATAAATTTGACCCCATTGACTAGACCTATATCTTACAATTGATACACTATCAGTCTGTTGTTGCCTACATAAAATTAGTAACCGCGCAATGTACGAAACACGAGCAAAGAAATTCAAATTATTCGTTTCTTATTTTCAAGTTATCACCCATATGAGCCGCGTCATCACAAAACCAACATAGTGCTTTTGCGACAAGCATGGATCTAGACCAGCATGCGCATCCGCGCAGTCTGATCAGGATCCATGCTGTTCGCTATAAGTTTCTCTACTTGTAATAGAGTTGGTGACGCGGCTCATATATTTGTTAATAAAAGAATGAAATAAGTTTTAATAGAAAACACATATATAATTCCGTAAAGCAGGAAATTCGTCTGCATAAAGCCATCATATTACTACGACATATATAACAGGTTATCAAGTCAGATCTTATGTTTGTATGAGAAAAAAAAAGAAAATTACAAACATAAAACGCAAATCACCGTCAGCATCCAAAATATTGGGTTTTCATTGAAATAAGTTTTTTTTTACACTGAAGTAAACCCAAACGTTTAAACCTTGGGCACTTTGGCCTTAAATGATCTTGTGTGATAATGAAATTGACTCCTTGTGAACTTTTTTGTGATATGTAAGATTAATATCAAGTAACAAGTGTTCAAATAAGTCAAGAAAATCGTAAGACAAAAACTTGAAGACAATATGACTGACGAAAAGAAAGTTGAGATAGAATATGTGAGACCAAAATCTCAAATTGGTTTGTTTGGAGCGGTGGCATTTGGCATCGGGTCCATGATTGGCTCAGGGATCTTTATATCTCCTAAAGGAGCCCTTAAAAATGCTGGATCTCCCGGTAAATATACGTTTTAAATCACCTCGTTTTATTTACATTTTCACTATTTTCGATAATATGAATAATTTTGCTTTTGAAACAATATAACAAAACTTTTGAGTTGAGTTAAATTTGAAATTATGATCCCATATGATGATATAATTATATAATCATGATCGAAAAATAAAATAAAATAAGATACTTTTGTAGACATACCGCTCTTCTTGTTTAATGGTTTCTTAGCTCTCTGATTGAGAACCCGGCAAATCTGCATATTCGAGCGAAGGAAGACAATTACATCCACACTAAACATATTGTTATGTCTTAATATTGTAGATAAATATGAATAAGAACCACAAAGAAATCATGATTGTATATTGCAAGTGCAAACCATGACTTATGCTTATCTTATACATTACATTATTTTATTTCAGGAATGAGCCTGATATCGTGGGCTTTCTGTGGGCTGTTATCTCTATTAATGGGCCTTGTTTACGGAGAGCTCGGAACACTTATACCACTGTCTGGAGGAGACTTTACCTACATAAGAAAAGGACTTGGTAAAGTTCCAGCATTTCTATCAGTGTTCATATATTCCGTTTTTGGCAGTGCAGGATCTATGGCCGTGCTCTCACTTTTATTTGCAGATTATTTACTGGCTTTGCTATTTGGATCATGTCGACCTCCAGACATTATGCGGCAACTGATTGCTGCGTCAATGATAATAACTCTTTGTATAACAAACGTTATAAGTGTGACACTTGGTGCATACACACAAATAGTGTGCACAGTTGCTAAAACTTTAGCTTTAATCGTCATTTCTGTTGGAGGAATAGTATTCATGTGTCAAGGTACGGTCGAAAATTTAGAAGACATTTTCAAAGATTCCTCATCTGAAGTAAACGGTTATTCTCTAGCAATATACAGCTGCATGTTTGCCTACCACGGGTACAGTAGAATCGGGGAAATCGCAGAGGAAATTGAAAATCCAAAGAAGAACATTCCACGTGCCGTTATAATTTCCGTTGTTGTTGTAACCATTGTTTATGTCATTACTAACTTATCGTACTTCGTCTTGTTACCCAAGTCAGAATTTCTTCGTTCTTCCGCTGTAGCCTATGACTGGGGTTTGAAAGGGATACACCCTGTAGCGTTTATTATTCCTTTAAGCGTAATGGCGTCAGTCTATGGTGCTAGTAATGGGGCAGGTTTCAGCAGCGGAAGAGTAATGTTTTCTGCTGCGCGCGCAGAACAATTACCGGAAGTGTTTTCATTCTTACATATCCAATCGGCAGTTCCTATCGCATCAATTGTAGTCATGCATGTTATTGGAGTAATTATGCTTGCTGTTGGAGACATTAGCATGCTGATTAACTTTTTAAGCTTTCTAACGTTTATAATTGTGTTACTAACAACGCTGTCTCTACTACGTATCCGGTATGACATGTACAAGAACAAAGTTGAGCATGAAGGTTTTAAAACACCACTAATCGTGTCCATAGTGACGGCTTTGATTTGTATATTTATGATCATATCTCCCTTGGTGAATAATCCACGAATAGAATTTTTGTACGGCTCCGGTCTGGTGGTGTTTGGACTGATAGTGTATGTGCCGTTTGTACACTTTAAACTGAGCCTGCCTGGTGTAGGTGCGGTTACAACATTCATACAGCTTCTTTGCAATGTTACACCCACACAGAAAGTGGACTAATCGATGACCTGAATTCAGTTAGACGTCACGTGTTGATCAGACTGAAAACTCTTGGGCCGAAAGCGTCAAACCACTACCAACGATATAAAGCCAGGTTAGCTGAGCAACATGTCAGGTTGTTATCACAGTTGTACAGTTTCAGTTTACAAAATAATGTTGTTACCGAAGTAAGCAAAGCACTCCGAAGAGTAATCTTCATTTTGAAAAAAAAATCCAGAAAGTTCCGGTATAAATGTCAAATACCTGATGTAGTTATAAGAAACAGGAAACGTCTCCACTTCCTCCTTATCATCATCATTGTCGTCGTCGTCGTCGTGATCAAGAAACTGAATTGAGATCAAATATAATAATAATAATCAACCTTTACTTAAATTTATTGTTTTTTTTAGAATGTATGTCACAATTTGTCATTAAAATATTTGAAATTCAAGTGTATTGCTTATCATTTTGTTTTTGTTAAAGCAGAAATCTTCACTATGTTTTTTACTATTGAATAAGTACATGTGTTTTATAATCTATGCATCTTTTCGAACCCCTCTTTGACAAATGAATATTATAACTATTACAAATATGCATTTTCTTTGCTTCAGGAAACGTTTAATAATGTATTATTTGCTTTTCCCTTCCAAAGTAAATCCTATTAAATACAGAATCGGATTTTGAAATCTTTTGCATTATTTAATGGAAGCGCCACAGCCATCGTGATTAAATTATTGCGCAATTGAATTTCATTCTTTACAAGATAACACGAAAAGAAACAAACAAAAAACTCTCTTTCCTTATTGTTGTCACAGTGCTTTTATCGATAATAACGGGATGTGAAAGATGTGAAAGAGAAAATAGGACATCTGTCTCATATAGTGTTATAGTGCACATCTGGATCAGCGTAAATTCCATATATTTTTACTGATGCTCGTTTCTGAGATCCATATGAGGTTCAGCCCCATGCTCATATCTATATTAAGTAAAATAACATCCTTTTTAAAAAAATCGAAATTATTTAAAGGGACACCACAAAATGTGTTGAAATTTTAGTACCGCTTAAGCCGGTGCTAGGGGATGTGAGAGATGTTGCACTTATTCATTATCCCTCATCCATAGACTCAAACCGAGTCTGCAATTTTCATATAATTTTGTTGTGATTAATTCATCTGAGTCCAGATTTTGTTTACTGTTTATGCCAGTGTACCTCGAGACATGTGATTTATATGTCACATAAGTACTTTCTAATAGTAATAATGTGGGCACATAGTGCATTTAAAGAAAACCAATTATATAACCACCATTGTTTTTCGATATAACTTCTTAATTTTTAAGTAAACCATCCAAAGGGTCATCCCCAAAGTGACAATATGAGAACCAGAAACACAGAATAAAAGTCTAAAACCTATGATGGTAAGTAGATACACTGTATACATACACAACCTATATAGCGATATCAGAAGTTATCGTAAGAGAAGAGCATTTAGTTTTGGCAAAAAAAACCCCAACTATTTAAGCATAGTTACAACAAAGGAGTTGTAAAGAACATAAAAGAAAGGAAGTGAAACATGCTAGCAAACTGAAAGAAAAAAACATTGTCACAGGATCAGATAAATGTAGCCCATAAGCCGTATAAAACATATTTACCATAGGGAACGTGTAACAGTGCGAGTTGCTCCCCATTTTGAAAATTCTATACTGTCACCACAAAGCGCGGTACTTTTACACGTTCACTACAGTGATATACATTAGTCACAACAAAAATCAAAGCACAGAAGGCGCTGAATTTGTTTGGGTCTCAGAATGTCAGAAAGGTGAAGGTTGTGAGATTATAAAACAATTTGTTTTTGTATAGTGCCACCAATGCTTTCCAGCGTTTTAATTGTAGTAAATTGGCTATAAGACTAATTGTAACACTGGTATTCAATTCAATGTTTATTTGACTTAAACAATTTGAAAAAAATGAGTTGCCTTAACTGGGATTTGAACTCAAGACCTCTCGCTTCCTAAGCGAGCGCGCAAACCCCTCGGCCACGGTGAAATTATATGTTAACGGCCTGAAGAAAAGCATATTATTTTAAATTAGGGTTTGTAACGACGCTAACTGTTGTTTAACACTTGTGTTAATAATCATGGCGCTTACTATAAGCATGTATATCTATAAAGAATAAAACAATATTAGAAATATTCGACCATTCGGGAATTATTTTGCTTGAAAATTAATGCGCCTGTCATGTGACCATATTTACGCAGTGATCTCCCCGGAATTTATCGGCCTTAGTGTTACATATAAAGGGAAGTAACCGCTTCAAAAAAGCGGACTACTTTCGGCATTTGCAATTAACAGCATTAGAGTCTGAAATTTCGCTACCATTATTTGTTTGGTCTGACGACCCAAACAAATAAAAACCGTCTCAATTTCAATGTAATTGTGTTATGTTACTCCAGTTTTGTTACAGTTTTTAAAACTGAGTAAAATAATTGCTCGGAGTAATTTAAAATGTTTTTGGTTAACAGTTAAATAGTATCCCTCGTAAAAGAACATTTTTCTTTTAGTAATATATTTACATCCGTTAACCGGTTGCGAGTAGAATACTGATTGTGGTTAAAACGAATGTGCGCTACTTAAAAACAGTGACAAAGAAAAACAACCGATGTTGTTAAACTGACATTTTGAGTAAATTGTAGTCATGAAGAATATGTCATTAATTGCACAATAAAACAAAATACCGAAAGAGCTAAGATCATTCGTACTTGACAAGGTCGAATAAACGTGTTGCAGCATTATACAGCTATGGAAAAATATTGTCGTGTTGAAGAACAGCTCTTTGACTGATGCTCGCTTTAGAATGTTAACAAAAGCGTCATTATATAGTGTTTATTTTCATAATCTACTATGTTACTAACGCTGTAGCCAATATAAGTAGGAGAAGATAATTCATTCAACATGGACACGTGTCACAGCAGTGGTTCGAAAAACACCGGTATCTGACCAGTACGCCCGGGGTCGTATATCAATTTTCGTCAATGAGTAGGCCCTAATCATCTTAATTCATTATTCGATGTTGTATCTTTTAATATTTCTGAAAAGATTAAACTCTTTGATTCGATGGTTTGCTCTATTTTGAATTATGGTTGTGAAGTGTGGGGTTTTCATAAGGCACCAGATATTGAAAAGGTTCACATGAAATTTTTAAAACAAACTTTACAAGTACGAACACAAACATCAAATGTTACATTATATGGTGAATTTGGAAGACTTCCACTATATTTTATGCGTAAGATAAGAATGATTAAATATTGGTTTAAGATAATGTCAAACACAGATTCTCTTATGTATAAAGTATTTATGAAGCATGATTTTAATGGTAATACAGTAAATAAATGGTCTAAAAATGTAAAGAACATTCTAGATGAAACAGGTTTTTCCTACCTATGGAATAATTCATTTGTAACAAATTTACAGATTCAATGTGTTATTAGATCAATCTATGATCAGTATATTCAACAGTTTTATTCTGAACTTCGTAACTCACCAAAACTAGAAACATATTGTTTAATAAAAACAGATTTTTGTACAGAGAAATATTTTTCAAGTATCACTAATACAAATCACAGAATTGCATTTTCTAGGCTAAGATGTTCCGCTCACAATCTACTTATTGAAGAGGGAAGGCATAGAAATATTGAAAGAAGACTTAGAATATGTACAAAATGTAATATGAGTAGTATTGAAAACGAATATCATTTTTTACTAGTTTGCCCTTTTTATAGAGAAATAAGAAACGCATGTTTGCCGAAATATTATTGTCATTGGCCTAATTTGAACAAATTTAAAACTTTATTATCTAGTACTCAGAGTAGCATTTTAAACAAAACCTCAAGATATATATATTTAGCTAATGTTAAAAGAAATATGTAATGACCATACTGCATTTTTTCATCATTTTTTAAAATGAGTTTGTAATGATTGTTATAGCTTGTTAACAACTTCCTGCATTGTGTTGATATTGTAAAATAATACAAAAGAATTAAATAACTTAAAGACTAATGTCATTTATTGACTAATCAATTATTAAATGTATGTATTATGTACAAATGTATTGTATTATCTACAACTGTAACTTTATAATAACATACTTTTCTCAATTGTACATTATATCCGCCATACAGTTGTGTATTGGCGATGAACATTGTATATGTTTATGCCAAATAAATATTGAATTGAATTGAATTGAATCATATTTCAAGCTTAAATCGATATATTGTTTATTACATATTTCATATAATTCATCAATTATATTTTTAGTGCCACAAACTAAACCAAAGCAGTTTATTCGTTTCCCTCTACGTTTGATACAATCTGAATTCCGTACCTTCCGGATCACAGGTCTCGATATTGTCCTGTCCTAGAAAAAAAGAATCCCGTAGTATAATAAAAGAAGGTATTTTTCCCGTTGGCGGGAAGCGATCTGATTGTTTTCAGAGCAAAAATGTCAACATATGCACATTTTGAAGTGTCATTTCGATTTCTTCAAACTATATAATGTTTTCGAGGAGGGATTTTGAAATATTAGTACTGAATATAGGCCGATTAAACATTTGAAAAAATATTAAAAGACACTCAATAAACACACTTAAAGATGTAATCTATGGTTCCTTTTATGACTATTATATAAACTAGCGAATATAATCCGAGTAAATGAAGTATTTTACTGTTAAAAGTTAGCTGGTAAAATCTACCACTCTGAGTGGTAATGTTTCTGTCTTTCTTTTATTTACATTTCTTCAGGAACAACAGTTATTCTCCCCCTTTTGTCACATTGGATACACGTGAAAACACCCGTTAGTCATTACATGCACATCACGTGTGCATCACTATATTTTTCATCGTCATCCCAATATGAAATCATTGTTTAGCTGTTATTGTTTGGCAATATTGACGTGAGACTGTTTAATATTTGTGAATTATTTCGACGGTTCCAGTAATTTATTACGATTTGTCCATTGTTTTTAATAATAGTATAGTTCTCGGTACTTTAATTCATAATTACGGCCCGTTAGCTTAGTGGTAAGTATGATGGCACAACAATCACAAGTTGCAAGTTCGAATCCTAGACAAACTATTTTTCAGATTTTTTTGACTAATTATTCTCAATCATGTGCAGCTTTAGTGGATAAATCATATTTTCATAACTTTGATATATTCTTGCCTATGTAATATTTCATAATTTCAATATGTTAAGTCGTACAATGGGTGATTTGCATGCACAAAAACAGTAGTCAAGTTCCGCAAAGTATAATAAATTATAAAAAAGGATATGTCATTAAGAAACTGAAAGTCTTCACACCTTGTAACTAAAGTCAATTTTACAGTAGCACAGAGGCGATATTTGC